TTAGACCTGAAACTTTCAAACATCCTTTTGAAACTAGAAAATTTAAATCGATGAAGTAACCATTTGAAGCCTAATTTAGTCACAGATATTAGAAATAAAGCTGTAATTTAAAAAAACATTTCAATAGGTTCATTTGCTAACGAATTTCAGCCTACAATCATCCGGAAATCATGGGAAAAATGGACGGGAATGTGTACGAACAACTCTATGGCGATTTCGCCGATATAAAGGTTTCATTTTAGCTACTTTTTTTGAGATTTATAAATGTTAATAGTTTCAATGGCTTTAGTGTACTTTGCTCTCCGAATCCCGTAAAAATCCCCTTTCTAGCGCACTCAATTCTTTCATTTTCCCTACAGGTGTCTCAAGGGAAAATAGAGAAATTGTAGGTTTGTGGGATCCGGAGAGCATAAAGTGCACACCGAACTTTTAAGTAGTTCTAGCTATATTTAAATACGCTATATTTAAATTTCAGAAAATTGAGAAAGGGATCCACGAGGCGGGCATAACGTATCCAGAACTGAAAGAGAAATTGGAAAGGCTCAAATCCCAGCTGAAGCACTTTACAAATTGGGAGACCTATCAAAAGAAGCTGCATGAATCGTGTGAGTAAAAACTGAATAAATTTCAAGTTGGACGGCTAAAGCTAAAGAAAACAGTAGGCCAGAGATGGGAATATTACCGCGAGCTATGTCAAGATTATGTTGTCGAGTCTCTGCAAAAAAATTCGAGCCAATTCGTTGTGTTCCAGGCAAGACCCGAATGTTTTGCCACGGCGATTTGTGGACCGGGAACATGTTGTGGAGGAAGGATGAGGCGGGAGACTATCGAATGTTGGTCATGATCGACTGGCAGGTGGATTGACTGGGCAAATAGCTATTGTAGATCAATAGTTTCTTTGGGTGGATAGAGTTTACTTTGGCATTCACCGCAGGCTTTTGTTTGACCTGATAACCGTGTAGCTTTTGATCATCTGTCAGTCAGAATTGAAATCTCTAAGATGCAAAGGATCCTTGAATTTGTGAGTGATTTTAACAGTGATTTTAACAATGATTTTAACAGTGATTTGTGAGTGATTTTAACCCACTTATTAAATGGCCTTTGTTTCAAAATAATGAATCAAGAAATCAAGCAAAGCAGTCCATCGCTAATTAGCAAGCATAGAAATATCTCAGCTCTTAGTTTTCAACTTCAAACTTAGCACAGAGCCTAGCAGCAAATAAGCGAAACAAAAGCAGCTCTTGTAATTGAACCGTGTCTCCTTTTTTTGAACCAGTCAACCTTTGCAGCTTTGCCATCTCGGCAATCCACTTGATGATTTGACCCGTTTGTTGACGAGCGCCATATCGAAAGAGAGCTATTTGGAAAGGTTGGAAAGCTGGAATTTTGTAGAAATTTTATTTTAGACGAGATTTTTACCTGGAGACCTATTACAAATGGTTCAAAGAGAACACGAGTGGACACCCAATGCCCTGGGAATCATTTGATGAGGTGGCATTGATTGGGAAAGTTCTAGATTTATCTTTTTAGTTCTTGAAACAGTACGAGCAAGTCTTCATTTTGACAACCGTCATTTTTGGCCCAGTTTTGGCGAATTTCACGAAAATGCTCTTCGAGAAATGTCGAGGTGAGCTTGGGGGAAAGAAGAGGTTTCAAAGAGGTCGGCTTAAAATAAAATCGTGTACTGCGCTGATTTCCCAAAGAAAAACTGAAAATGCTGGTAGATAGATACCAGGAATCAATTATCTAAGCTGGAGTTACCATTACGGTGATCTAAATGTTATTACCATTATCATTATCCAAATCCATTTTCAGAAGAGGAAAAAGAAGCCGGCTTCAAATGTTATTGGGGGAAATTGGAGAACATGCTGGATGAGTCGATAAAATACATCGAGAAATGGAATTGGTAATCAATTTTTGATATAGATAAATATTTATTGAGTTGGGAAAACATTTCAAACATTCTGATTGAAATTTTGGAAAACACAATCATTTCATGGAAATTGGTGCATTTATAATCATTGCTCAATCATTGCATTTATTCCTACTCTTGTTTTGTTTTGTCTTTTGGTTATGTCGTTCTTCTTTTGTCGTTCTTCTTTTGTTCATCTGATGCTTTTATTCGAACGCTTCCAACATCGCTCATTCCATTATCCCCAAAATTATCGAGTGAGTATTCTCACTTTTTAGTATTCTCAAAATAACCTTTTTTTCGAGCGTTTTCAGAAATCCTCACTTTGCCTCCTCCTAAATTTTTATAAAGAAAGCCTCCTGAGCTGAAATGAATATATTTACTTATAGTTAATAGTACTTTAATAACTGACAAAACATCAGAAAGGAAACTCGATTTAACCAGTGGAAAATGATCCAAAGTCGCTTCGTCAAAGATCTTCGTCAACAATCGAACTAGTCGACGTTAGTCAAGCAAACTTTTCATGAACATTCAGATCAAAAATTCATTTTTACTAGAATGTAGAGGAGATTTAGAACTTTTGAATAGTAGATAACAGTTATCGATATCTTATCGCCAAGCTGAGAAATGTACAAAAGTGTAAAAACGGTGATCACTTTCTTACCAATCTAATAGAAAACTTCAAACAAGAAGGCAACTAAAGATTATTTATTATATTATATATTCAATAAAAGATATTATTATACAAGACCTGAAATTAATATATTTACGTAGTAAAGGGAAAGAACTTTGAAAAACTCTATGGCTTTGACCCATTAAGTCATTGAAAAAGTTTTCTTCTTTCAGATGATTTTTTTTGGCTTGCAAACTTCTCAAATGAGATTTTGGGGGGAAAATTTGTAGCTGGGCTTTTCGGGGTCGACGAATCGATTGGCGAAGTTCATTTGGTTCCATCTTTCAAGCGAAAACGAAATTTTCGGCTCGGATCATAGACTGGAAAAAAATAGCCGAATCCGCATCACCCCTGGTCACTTCGTTGAGGTTTTACAAAAAAGCAACGTTTTTTAACTAGCGTACGGTGTTTGTCAAATTAAAACACTAAAAAATTTGAAGTTTTTGAACTTTAAAATGAAAAAAAAAGATATCTATAACCCAATGAAATCGTCACATTTTCCGCAAATTTTTCTTCCATTTAAGCGCAATACTATTAAAATTCTATCTCAAATCTCATCTAAAAGTGTCTAAAAACAATTCTACGAGGATTTAAAGTCAAAAAACTGTCCAGTTTTATTTGGAACGTCACGAAGAATGAAAATTTTTTTCAGATTAGAACCATCCTTCGAGGAGAAGAGGAGAAATGCATTGAAATCATTGTTTTTAGATTGATTTTTGTACAAGAAAAAGATTAAAACTAACACAGTGAATCGATTCCCCAACCCCTAAAAGCCTGGGTACAATTTTTCTGTCCAAAAATTTGAAGTTTTAGAACTTTAAAATGAAAAAAGAAGATAGCTGTGTGTTCCCTGTGAGCGAGCACAATCGCCCTCGATCTGGCATACGACGCCTGCGGATATACTTCCTTTCCGCCTCTCAAACCGGAAGCGTCCATTTTGGGTCATCCGGTAACCAATCCGTTGTCTGCCCCATGTGGTCACCGCTTCCCAAAACTAACCTCGGCTGTAGGGCTGGTCAACCCAGTTCCGGCTCATTTTGACCATTATGGCGGGTTCTCTGTCGGTCGAAATGGGATCCCAAGTGCCTGTAAAAGGGTGCTGAAGGGAGCCGCTGTGAATTTTGGATTCATCCCAAGGATTTCGGTCCGCAGGGGCAGCAAGAAACTCATGGAACAAAACGAGAAAGCGGGCTCAAGCATTGGAAAACACTAGAGATGATGTTGGCCTAAAATCGCCGTTTGTGGCCTGAAATGGCCTAAAATTAAGCTTTTTCGAAAAACAAAAGCTCTTGCAGCTTAGTGGCTGGAAGGTAATTCTTATATTAGTTTGGAAAGAAAGTTCGTAGAAGGCTTTTTACTCGAACAGTTTGCCCTTTAAATACACTACATACACTTTCGACTACGTGATCTTCAGCTTCATCGTGTCGGCTTTTGTGATGGACACGATTACAGCTGTTAAGATTCGGTTTACGGTGGGAAGAGATGTAAACTAGTTGAAATGGACTCATTCTTAAGATGAACACATCGATCAACCGTCGTCAAGCCGATATCAGCTTGCTGATAATGGTGGGAGTTGTCTGGTTATTTCTGAAAAATTGTAGGAAAATTTCTATAAGTATCTGGTAAAAAGTAAAACAGAGACGGTTTAAGCCAGCATGCTTGCTTGGTTTTTTTTGACATTCTCATGAGATAACTCGAAGAATGACTTTGAAAGTGAAAAAGATGGCCAATTAGGACCAGATTTGGTTAGGATTCAATAAAAATCTTTCCAGATGCTTCTAACTGAATCAATTTGGTTATGGGATGGCATTCACATCTTTATCAAACCGTTCTAGCTGACGTCGACATTGGCGATTCTTCTTTGTGCGTGGAGAGCGTGTTGAGGTATGATTTTGGAAGAAATTATGCTTTGAAATGTTAACCGGAAAACATGACTGCTTTCAGGTTGATCGTCATCTGCTTCGAATTTTGTGTTTATTTCGTTGACATCGTAACAACCATCGTAACAAAGAGCTGCGTTCTAGTGACATAAAAGTTAAATGCAAATTTGGAAAAACAATCTCTAATGCACGTGTAAAGTAGGGGGAACTTGTGGATAAGGGGATGATTTACAAAATTTGCATTCGTCTTCTAAAAACGCTGAATTCACATGTACAAATTGGTCTTTAATTAAGTTTATTGTGTAGACATGTAAAAAATATAGATCTTTTCAAGTTCTGCACAAAAATCTGTTTCTCGAAAAAAGTGAATTCAATGATTTCCCTTGGGAAATCAGAATCAGAATCATTTTATTCTTTATCTAAACTTTCTCGAACACATTGTCTGTCTTTTCAAAGTCGATTTGTGGTTCAAGAGAACTTAAATGAAAAAGATTGAACAACAATCAAACTGAACGCGTCAGCTTGATACAACTTCATGAATACAACGGCAGTCACATTTCAACAAGTCGTCCTTTTGATGCTGGTGAGTACGTTTCGAAGGTTTTTTCTTTGAAAAACTTGAAGATTTGTTAATAGAGTATAATTGTATATGTTACGTCCGAATCCGACCAGAATGAGTGTGGTCGGATCCTGACGTCCGGATCGGATTCGGACGTCCGGATCAGATCCGGACGCCTGGTCGGATTCGGACGTAACATATATAAATATGTGATTTATAAAAGTTTACAACGAACTCAAAAGACTTTCGGTCACAAAAGAGCTGAGAATCTGAGAGCTGATTGAGCTGAGAATCTAGGCTTTTTCTCAAAGCGCATTTCTTTTGGGTAAAGTTATATTTCGAATATTTTTATCTCTGAAATCTGAAAAACGATAAAGCTCAAGGGTTTTCTGAATCTGAATCAAAGCAAATCAACTACTGAAAGTCGTACACTGTACATTCGTTTCCAGTCGTACTGGAGTACATTCATTTCTAGTCGTACTGAAGTACAATCATTTCCAGCTAGGCATCATTGGAATTCTGGGCGGTTTGTTTGCGACTCGTGTCCTCCTCCGAAGTACAATTGTCACCGGGATCGTCCGCCACTATTTCTTGTGCATCGTTTTCTTCGCCTCACTCGTCAATGCAATTCATCTCATTTGGGGTGTCCCGAAAGCGATTTGGTCGGTTGCTTTGGGTTGTGATAACGTGAACCTTCATGCTATTGGTACTAACAATGTTATTGTAAGACGTTCTTTCTTCTCTTTTTACTCATCCATAACAAGTACAAGGATAGCTTTAAACTTGTTCACCAAACATCTAATCATTCTCCAACATTTTTAGGTCAAAAGAACTCAATGTACCATTTATCGATTACACAACAGGGCTGATCGCATATGGAGCTGGTTCATTTGTTTACATGGCCAAGGTAAAATCAGATTAAAGCATTTCCTTTTCACTGTTTCAATTTCCGGTTCTTCTGGCATCAAATCGATTCATCGCTATCGCTTTCAATGGTCGTTTCTATTCGATGATGGAGAAGAAAAGAAAATGGCAATATTTCATTTTATTTGGCTACCCTCTGCTTACTTCTGTGCCGATGCCGTTTCGTTTGTTTTTAATGATTTATAATAACTAGCGTGATTAGTCGATGGTTTTGCAAGTTTTTCAATAAAAGAAATAAGCATAGATAAAGATGGTTTAAGGAGGATGCCTCATTCTTTTCAAAAGAATTTGCAAGTTGAAAGCACAAGCTGAAATTTGTGACATCAAAAAGGTTATCAGCTCATAAATCTGTCCACTTCTGATCGATTACAGGTCTTTAATTCTAAGATATTCAAATGATAGGCTTGAAACTTGGGAACTGGAATGAAAACAGTCAACTTGTCTGTACTGTTGTCTTAAAAAATCACTTTCAGCAGCTTTCCGCTTAGTCTGGCTTGGCGATGAGAATAATTTCTTCACTTTGGAATCGCCTAATGCTTTTGCTTCCGTATTTCTTACGATTCTCGGAGTAAAAAGAAAAAAACGATATTAAAAGATACGCAAATTTTAGACCTATTTCAGCTATTTTGTTATTACAATGTGTAGTTTATTGGACACTTTCACGTTTTTGTTGATTCGACGGAGAAGAATTGTGAGGCAAAGATAGAAATCATTGTGGATCTATTTTTTTAGAGAACACGCGAGTTCACCGGTCAAACGGATCAGCAGAGATTGAAAAGGGATTATATTCTGATCACACAGGTCAGCTAGACAAAACTTTTATTGTTTTATTTTTTCGAACACTTCTAAGCATTTCTAAACCCTTGTAGATGCTTTGCAACAACATGACGGTCATTGTGGCGGCTGGCGGTGTTCTCACATTAAGCTTACTCCCAAATCTCTCGAATATGATGTTGTTCATCTGTTGGACAGCTCTGTGGTTGGCCGGGAATGCAATGGAGGGGTCGGTGAATGGATGTTGCCAGAGTAAAGATTCTTGAATTATATGTGTTATTTTCAGTTTCTGGGTAATTCTATTCTTTCGAGAGAAGAGTCGAAGCAACAGTGCCTCGCGGATCAGAATCGTTTTCTCCACAACTGTTTAAGAAGAGTATGTTCAAAACGGGCAATAAAGTGCATTTCATGTATTAGGTTGGAAAGAAAGTTCTCGGAAAAAGTTTCACTGGAATTTCTTAGAAACGAATGCTCTAATTCGAGAACATTTTGTTCTATTATTTACAACTCAGAGAGCTGCACTCATAAAAAAATGAGTGCAGCTTTCCTTTAAAAATTAGAGATTTTTGAAAAATGATTATTTTCGAGCTTAAATTCAGCTCACTTTTATGTTATGAGGTATGAGGTAAAGCTGAGCACTAAAAAAGTGACCAATTCACTTCAGTCGCTTCAGTCACTTCAGTCACTTCACTTCAGTCACTTCACTCACTTCACTCACTTTAGCAGAAGAAATCCTTATGAGGTAAAGCTAGCATAAATGAGCAATACGCGTTATAATCTCGATTTTTGACCAAAAATTTTTTTACAAAGAAGCTGTATTTCAAAAAATAATTTTTTTTTTGGTGTCATCCGCTTGGCACTGAGTGTTTACTAAAATAGGTGATTCTGAAAAGTTAAAGCATTAGATTAAATTTGCCTTAACCACAAATTTTCTCTATTTTATGCGCTTGATTTTAGGTTTTAAATGGGACCCATTTCCTATCCATAAACCCATTAAAAACTTGTCTAAAGGCTGGTCACTCAAAAAGTGACCAAGCCACTTCAGCTGAAGAAATCTCTTATTTTTTACCTGAAGCCCACTCTGATTTTTTTGTCAAAACCTTTTTGAAACATAGTTTATCAAAAAATCTGGGAAGAATTGATGGCTTGGTTTTTGAGAAATCACCGTGCAAACTTTTTTTTTACGAACTTTCTTTCCAACCTAATACTTAGAACAAAAGTATAAAGTTGATGGAACAAATTGATCGAGTTATTCTTCTATTTTTTTTTGTTTAAGCTAAAACCGCATAAGTTTTTCTTTCAGTAATTAGCGAAAATCGAAAAATTTTTCAATCCTTTCTCGCTTTTCTTACCTGATAATTGCATTGACTGTCCAGGGCGTAGACTCGATGCAGAGCCTCATAATAGCCTCGATGCAGAGCCTCTGTTTCCATGGATAAAGATGTACAGTAGCGGACATTAACTTACGATATTTTTTCTTCTTATCATAATTTTTTTTCTAAACACGCAAATGAGCTAAAAATCAAACTAATTGTGTAAAAACAATTGTATTTTGATATTCTGAGTTCAAAAACTTAATAGCCTTAAAAAAAATTCTTTTAGAACAAATTTATTAAAACTCGCGACGACATTAACTTACGATATTTTGAAAAAACAAGCTCCAACAAATAAAGCAAAAAAAATTAACAACATATAACCAATAAATATTGAGTAAAAACGTTAGTACTTTGTTGGAAAACCTTTGGCATCAAATACGGCTTTACAGCGACGTTGCATTGACGCGATGAGATTATCGGTCGTTACTTGGGGGATCTCGCTCCATTTCTTGACAAGAAGATCAAATTTTTCCTTTGAATTTTTCGTTTTAAACCCTTTGCAGCTTCTTTCGAGTATGTCCCATAAATGTTCAATCGGATTCAAGTCCGGACTTTGACTTGGCCACTTCATTAATTGAATTCCTTGTTGAGTGAACCATTGGGAAACTCGACGTGCAGTATGCTTTGGGTCGTTGTCTTGTTGATAGATGAAGTTTGGTGGCATAAAACAAATCACACTTGGAAGCATATGATTTTGCAAGATGTCTAGGTAAACATCTTGATCCATAATGCCGTTTATGCGCTTCAATGCCACCAATCCGTGCGACGAGAAGCCTCCCCATACAGTTACGCTACCACCTCCATGTTTCACAGTCGGCAAAATATATTTGGGATCAAATTTTTTATTTGGAGGACGTCGTACAAAGTGTATACTATCAGATCCAAACAAATTGAACTTACTTTCGTCAGTAAAAAGTACATTTGCCCATTGTTGTGGGGTCCAGGTAACGTGATCCTGAGCGAATTTCACCCGAAGCCTGCGATTCTTGAGGGAAATTAACGGTTTGTGAGCCGGGCGTCGTCCGAATATCTTTGCCTGGTTCAGTCGGCGCTGTACTGTTCGAGGAGAGATTGTTTCCTTCACTCGTTGTGGCAGCTCTGCATGAATATCGACTGACGTCTTCATTGGATCCATCTTGGAGAGCTCAAGAATTCGATTATCATCTCGTGGAGTGGTCTTCCGAGGCTGTCCTTTGTTCTTCTTCGCAGCAGTAGATCCAGTTTGTCGATAAAGAGCCAAAATAGACGAGACAGTACTCTGGGTTATCGATAAAAGTTGGGCGATCGCCTCTTGTTTGATCTGTTGCTGGTGAAGTCGCAGCACACCCTCCCGTTTCTCCTTTGACACCTGTTTTCTTCTTCCCATCTCTAAAAATGAAAATAAATAAAGATTAAATTATAAACAAACAAAAAATAAAGTATAGCAAATCAACATAAGAAAAATTAATTCGTTTTTTCAAAATATCGTAAGTTAATGTCGTCGCGAGCTTTAATAAATTTGTTCTAAAAGAATTTTTTTTAATGCTATTAAGTTTTTGAACTCAGAATATCAAAATACAATTGTTTTTACACAATTAGTTTGATTTTTAGCTCATTTGCGTGTTTAGAAAAAAAATTATGATAAGAAGAAAAAATATCGTAAGTTAATGTCCGCTACTGTACGTTTGATTTGTCGAAGAGATGTTTTTGAGAAATGAGAGAATAGCTTTTGGTTTGAAACTTTTTCATCCTCTGATGGCTTGTAAAAAGAAATCACATGGGAATCGATAATTTTATTCGTCTCAAAATGGCAACTTTTTCGACAGATTATCTCAGTTTTTGTTTTGAATAAAAACGATTTCCCCGAATGATCTTGCTAGTTACTCAGTTGAATGTTAAACATCACAACCAACAAATAAGCACATTGTATTTTGCTGTGAATCAAGTCTTTGTTCAAAATGACTTCAAAACTTGTATTAAAACTGCTACAAAACTCACTCGAGCCAAAATTTTGATAATTTTGGGGATAATGCTGTTGGAAGCGTTCGAATAAAAGCATCAGATGAACGAAAGAAGAACCACAAAACAAGAGTGGAATAAATGATTGGGCAATGATCAAAACTGCACCGATTTCCATGAAATCACTGTGTTTTTCCAAAATTTCAATAAGAAATATTTTCCCGACTCAATAAATATTTATCTATATCAAAAATAACTTTTAAAATCAAAAATTGATTACCAATTCCATTTCTCGATGTATTTTATCGACTCATCCAGCATGTTCTCCAATTTCCCCCAATAACATTTGAAGCCGGCTTCTTTTTCCTCTTCTGAAAATGGATTTGGATAATGATAATGGTAATAACATTTAGATCACCGTAATGGTAACTCCAGCTTAGATAATTGATTCATGGTATCTATCTACCAGCATTTTCAGTTTTTCTTTGGGAAATCAGCGCAGTACACGATTTTATTTTAAGCCGACCTCTTTGAAACCTCTTCTTTCCCCCAAGCTCACCTCGACATTTCTCCAAGAGCATTTTCGTAAAATTCGCCATAAGTGGGCCAAAAATGACGGTTGTCAAAATGAAGACGTGTTCGTACTGTTTCAAGAACTAAAAATATAAAGATAGAACCTCCCCAATCAATGCCACCTCATCAAATGATTCCCAGGGCATTGGGTGTCCACTCGTGTTCTCTTTGAACCATTTGTAATAGGTCTCCAAGTAAAAATCTCGTCTAAAATAAAATTTCTCCAAAATTTCAGCTTTCCAACCTTTCCAAATAGCTCTCTTTCGAGATGGCGCTCGTCAACAAACGGGTCAAATCATCAAGTGGATTGCCGAGGTGGCAAAGCTGCAAAGGTTGACTGGTTAAAAAAGGAGACACGTTCAACTACAAGAGCTTTTCGCGCTTGGTTCATTTGCTGCTAGGCTCGGTGCTAATTTTGAAGTTCAAAACTAAGAGCTGAAATATTTCTATGCTTGCTAATTAGCGATGGACTGCTTTGCTTGATTTCTTCATTCATCATTTTGAAACAAAGGTCCTTAATAAGTGGGTTTACCGTTAAAATCACTTACAAATTCAAGGATCCTTTGCATCTTAGAGATTTCAATTCTGACTGACAGATGATGAAAATCAGGTCAAACAAAAGCCTGCGGTGAATGCCGAAGTAAACTCTATCCACCCAAAGAAACTATTGATCTACAATAGCTATTTGCCCAGCCAATCCACCTGCCAGTCGATCATGACCAACATTCGATAGTCTCCCGCCTCATCTTTCCTCCACAACATGTTCCCGGTCCACAAATCGCCGTGGCAAAACATTCGGGTCTTGCCTGGAACACAACGGATTGGCTCGAATTTTTTTGCAGAGACTCGACAGCATAATCTTGGCATAGCTCGCAGTAATATTCCCATCTCTGGCCTACTGTTTTCTTGCTTATTTCAAGCCATTAGCTTTACCCGTTCAGCAATAGAATAAATGTGTCCCAGTAAACCAACTGGGACACAATTCTGGGATAGAGCCGAATCCAGAAGAGACTCAGATCTCAAAGCAGAAGCTTTAGCCGTTAAACTTGAAATTTATTCAGTTTTTACTCACACGATTCATGCAGCTTCTTCTGATAGGTCTCCCAATTCGTAAAGTGCTTCAGCTGGGATTTGAGCTTTTCCAATTTCTCTTTCAGCTCTGGATACGTTGTGCCCGCCTCGTGGATAGCTTTTTCCATTTTCTGAAATTTAAATACAATTTAAACTACTTAAAAGTTCGGTGTGCACTTTGTGCTCTCCGGATCCCACAAACCTACAATTTCTCTATTTTCCCTTGAGACACCTGTAGGGAAAATGAAATAATTGAGTGCGCTAGAAAGGGGATTTTAACGGGATTCGGAGAGCAAAGTACACTAAACCATTGAAACTATTAACATTTATAAATCTCAAAAAAAAGTTGCTAAAATGAAACCTCTATGTCGGCGAAATCGCCATAGAGTTGTTCGTACACATTCCCGTCCATTTTCCCCATCATTTCCGGATGATTGTAGGCTGAAATTCGTTAGGAAATGAACCTATTGAAATCTTTTTTTAATTAACAGCTTTATTTCTAATATCTGTGACTAAATTAGGCTTCAAATGGTTACTTTATCGATTAAAATTTTCTAGTTTCAAAGGATCTGTTTTCAGGTCTAACTTGACGACTGTAATAAAGATGTAACCAAGTTCAAACTTTACAAATCTGTAGTACTTTTAATTTCAAAGCCAACTTGTTTCCATTGAACTCACAATGCGTATGAATGATGACTAATTGTCGAATAATCTCTAAAACGGCCGACTCTTGGATGTTATTGTAGAAGTGGCGATTCTCCACGTTGTCAAAGTGCTCAATGGCGAAATAGCCTAGAAATTGCTTTTGTTATTTTGATAAATGCCTTTATTAACTTTTCTTAACCTTCAATAGCTTGACTTAAAGTTGAAAGTTCATTCAAATTTTTTTAAATTAGAAACAAACCCGCTTCCACTCCATCAATGCCAAAATCTCGTCCACAAAAGAATTGCGGCACGCGGAGCTCGTTGGAAAATTTCAGCGTTTTAAAGGCATTTTCGTAGAATTTTAGCTCATTGTCGCTGGCCTGGATAGTAAAAAAATTTAAAATAAATCCATTAATGTGAGATTCGAAACAATGCCTTGGGTTTGGGTAAATTTCTCACCGCAGCGCATTTTTCTCTGACATTATTCATCTCAAATCCCGGCATCTCCTTGATCAGGATCTCCATTTTGTCGCAAGAGGTGATCTGGAGGGATTCAGTTAAGATTTCAATTTGACAATGAAGTACGACCATGGTAAAACTAGCCAATTAATTTCTCTTTTAAGTCGATCAAACGTGAAACTGGAATTTTATTAAATTCCAATAACCTTTTATTTCGAGATGAAGTTTAATGCTTTAATTTGATTGCTCTTTTATAAGTCTAATTGACAAAAAGCCTCCTCAGTGGACCCGATTCGCTTTAAAATTAACCTTTAGCACGGCTTTCTCGGGTAGAAGATCTCGATCAGTCGTCCAATCAAAAACAACCAAAGCGATGTATGAAACATAACCCTAAAATAGGTGAATTGTATTTTTTGCTTTCAATCGATCAATGCTAGATTAACCAGAACAACCTAATTGCACATTTCTTTTCTAATTGCTAATTTGTAACTCAAAGAATGGATAAATTGCAGATTTCCTTCCCATTCACCCTCATTTCCACGAAACACTCACATTCCCGTCAGCCATCAATTGAGCGCTTCGTTTCTCACCGATTTTCGCTAGACTTCCGAACGCTTTTTGCATATCGTACTGGAAATTTGATTTTTTGAACTGTTAATCATAGGCTCAACTATGCATTTTGTTCAGGGATTTCCTTGAAATTAGAATTACAAATTCTGCTTAAAGTTCAATGCCTAAAAAGATAGACAAGAATTTCTTGATTTCCTTACCTCTAAAATCTCCCAAGTGATCGCCGTGTTGATGATTTGCTCATCGTTTTTTGCCTTTTCCGCCTTGGTGAGCACCATTTTGTACTCTGAAAAAAGAACGAGTTTCAACTTATTGCAAGAGAAATGACTGAGTAGAGAATAGTATTATTGAAAACTCAACTCTGGAAATAAAATGATCAGATCAGCCGATTTTCGACAATAAAAAATTTGGTAGCGGGCGATTTTGATGGATTGATTTGATGGGAAATCGTGAAAGTTGAATAGAGATCAGAAAATGTTATTAAAAAAAGTCCCCAAGCAGGTACAGTTTAAAAATTTTTGAAGAAGAAATGAAGAAGAAGAAATCAACTCTGGAAATAAAATGAAGTTACAAGGTTTGAAATAAAATGTTCGTTTCATTGGGAAAGTTCCCGTTTCTTTATATGGATGATGAAATAACGCAAGATCACAAAAGGTCTAGTCTCAAATTTGACCACCTCAAAAGGGAACAACTCACCTCAGTAGACGCGGAACTCCAATTTCTAATATTTGACAAGAAAAAAAGTTGGGTATTGTATATTTTGGAATTAAGGACATGATGTTATTTTTGAAATTCGTATTCAAAGGGTTTTCTAAATGAAATGAAAGGGTTCAACTTTCCACTCGCAAAGGTCAAAACGCTTTGTTTCAAAGTTGCTAAGGTCAAAAAGTTGAAAAAGTTAGTAAAAAAAAATATTAGCACCAACTTTCTAGACTCTTTTCTCAATTTAAGAACAAGATAAAGGAACTCTGCTGACAGAAATGAATAGATTTTGCTTCAATTAGAGATATCACGAATTGTTGCCTTTGTATATGAGAGCACATTTTCTAAAACGTTTCAATTTTCTTGAAACAACCTTGCCTTTAGTTTTTATTCAAAATATCCAACAGAAAGTTGATACATTGATACAACGAATGTCAGGGAAAAGAGAAATGCTTTTTCATTTGCAGTCTAGAAACTTCTTTTTAAGTTAAAAATTTTAAAGTTATGTTTCAAAAGTGAAAGTAGAGTTAAAAGGCGATGTTTCAAAAGGAGGCATACCAAAATGAGACCAAAAAAGGTAATCGGCGTAGGTCTTAAGGGTTGGCTTAAATAAAGTTTTCCCCAATCCAGCCAAAATAAATGATGCGATCGTCGATTATGATAATTTTTTTCCCCAATCCAACTCCAATATTGCACAATTCAGTCACATTGTTGAGAAAAAGAGAGAAAACTTCTCTCCTTTTCTCTCAAAATCACAATTTCTCTTGACTTTTGACGGGAAATCCGATCTTTTTTACCTTTTTTTGATAAATCTGATCGACGATTTGATCAAAAAAAGCCGATTACAACACATTTTAGCACAAAACTCTGCCTGTTTCTGATGCCCGTCCAAGGTACATTTTGGCGGCTTATGGCTTAGAGAAATGAGTGCAGCTTTCTCTTAAAATTTTAGGGATTTTTGAAAAATGGTTTATTTTTCAGCTTAGCTCACTTTTTGAACAATCCATAAACCCATTAAAGACTTGTTTAAAGGCTGGTCACTCAAGTCACTTCAGCTGAAGAAATCTCTTATTTTTTTTGCCAAAAACATTTTGAAATATAGTAAAGTTTATCAAAAAATCTGGGAAGAATTGATGGCTTGGTTTTTGAGAAATCACAAACTGCAAAAGTGCAAACTTTTTTACGAACTTTCTTGCCAACCTAATATTTTTTGTACAACTTTATTAAATAAATCATTTTATTGACGTAAAATAGTGAATTGATCGGCTTTTTCTGAGCAAAGATCGATACATTTGACTTAGAAATGGACAAGCCAGTTTTAATAAACGTTTCCCAGTTGATTCCTCTTGGATTTTCTGTAATTTTTGTTCAAACACATCTCATCATTTTCTCAATTCACGTCATTTCTCTCGCTTTTATGAAACAAAACAAAAATATCCTTTTGATTTTCTTGTGTTTGTTTTTCACAAAATGAATAAAAACAAGATGAACTTCTTAGAGAAACAATGAAAAGAGACGAACATATAAAAACCTTTTTCAACAAACCCTCATTGTACAGTTCATTTTAAAATAACATTGTCATTTGTTGCATTTTGCTTAAAGATGTCGATTCTACCATTATTGTCACTTTTCTTTGTGTTGGTTGTAATTTTTGATTGTCGAGGTAAGTGAAAAGTTAGAAAGTTTACTAAAAACAAGTTTCACAACTAGGTACACAACAACACTGACTTTCACAACAACACAACACAACAACACTGACTTAAGTTAACTGTATTCATCAAAAAAAATGAAAATAAATAGAAATCAAAGATGAAAAGCAGCAGCCCTAACAGGTGACTGTGATCAAATCGGCTTTCTATCTGCTAGTTTATCGTAAATCATGCTAAATCTTATTACAAAAGTTTTTAACTTTTGAGGTATTGAAGCAGCTACAATTAGAGCGAATCCCGATGAGCCACCGACAAAGGAGTTTTGCGAGTGAGTTGACGAACAAGTTTTAGCATTGCTACGTTTTTATACAGAAACCAATCACTTTACTTATGGCACTTTTCGATTCGAGGAGACCATTTTCTATACTAATTTTTCTTTTTTAGTCACTTCCAATCGAAAAACCAAGGCTAAGGCTTTCTCTTTTTTTCTTAGAAAATACGAAAAACTTGTTGGAAACAAAGCAAGTCTATCAGCTGAACTCCTCCGACAGGCCACGTTTATTACACTGATGAATATCGAGAGCTCGCTAAGGAAAGTTCGTGTTTTTATTAATATCAATATGTAAAAATTTAAGATTAGTAATAACTAGTAAGCCAAAAGTTTAAACATTACAAAAATTAGCGCAACCTGCTTTAAATTCAAATCTTTAGTGACTCCAATTCTGGAATGCGTGACTGGGGACAAAGAGGCACAGATCGAACAAACTTGTGGACTATCGACTCCGAAAAGTGATTGCAGGTTGGACAGAACAAAAAAGAAACATTTTGACAGAACATAGTTTAGTGAAAAAGTGAAAATCATGAAGTGTCGAGTGATCGAAACGGGGAAACTCTGCGATTCGCCGAACTCGACCAAAATAGCGGTCAAATTTTTCAAACTGATCGTCAAGCATAGGGTTTGTTGACAGAAATTGTATATTTTAACAAATCAATGTTTTTTGAGTTATCCAAAAACTATTTAAACAGCTCTCAGCTCAAATTTCAGCTCTCTGAATTCGCTCATTGTTCCACGGAGGCTTTAGCGGCACTTGATGCATTGAGTTGAACTCTACAAAGCGTTTCCTTGAATCTAGTAGACTTTTTGTGATGTTAATAAAGTTTTGCGTAAATAGAAAAGGCTAATACAAATTGATAAGCTAATAGAAATGAGTCTGCTTGGACAGTTCTGGATTGGTGATGTTTTATGTTGAAGGTTCGAGTGGTTGAACCAAGTAGCTACAAAAGATTGAATGAGTTACAAAAAAGCTGATTGCTGAAAAGCTGAAAAAGCAAAACACCTCAAATGTCAAAAACTAGCAATCTAAAAACAATAAAGTCTTTGTTTTACAATATCGACTTATTTTTTAAATTGATCTTAAGTCAACTTTGATGATGTAAGACACTCCTTAAGATTAAGTAACTTAACTTAAGTTCACGTTCTAAAACCGGGGCAGATTAAGAGATTTTGTTCTATCGGTTTGTAGCAAAACTCAAGACGGTATTCCATAATTGTTGAATAGCAATAGTTGTGAGATTCGCGAGCAACCAGAAGTCACTGGGGACGAGATTATCTCGAAAACGTTTCTACTTGCATGTTTTCAATTTCGTTTCTTCAAGCACAGTTCATAACAGCTTTAAACTAACATTTCACAAGTCTACTTTATTTCCCTGTAATCGATAATCAAGTGTTACCCGTGAGAAACTACAAAAACGCGAAAGCACAAAACACGACCCAAAAACGATCCACTCGCCCAGTTCTTGCAAAGCTTAAAACTGTTGTTTTTTTATTTTTATTTTGTCAGGCTTTTCCTAACCCGTAAACACCACTTTTGGCTCAAACATAAGCACAAAGGAATTATAGATAGCTAGATTTGCTCTATCTAATCAAGTCGACTATAGCTTAAACAAACAGAAAACAGTCTAATCTTTTGCTACAGTAACTAAAGTAGCGCTCAAGCTAAAAACACTCAAAATACCCTAAATGAATCAAGTAAAAGTTGATTCCAATCTTGAGCATTCTATTTGCAGCTAGACATACTTATTTCCCCAAAAAAGAACATGTCCGCACAGTGATTTCTTCGTGTTTTCTCCAAATCCTCCACTATTTATTCAGCTTCTCAGCCTCTTCTTTTGATTTCTAAAAGCAAAATGTTTTCTAGTCATTTGGCAGCTAATAAATTGAATAACATTAGTGTAAGTTGACAATGTTTTTTTGGGAAAACATAAATTAAGAGCAGTATAAAAAGGGGTGAGGGGAATCGACAAGCAACAACTTCTGCTTTGTATTCAAAGATGTTCAAGTTCGTCTTGGCTACTGCTCTCATTGCGGTGAGTTGATGCTGAAAAGGTTAATAAGTTTAAATAAATCGCCTAGTAAATTGTTGAATAAAACTCTTGGCAGAGTATAAGTACCAAACGTCGGTCTTGTCCTGTCT